AGGGAAAGTGCCCAGTGGGTGTGTCTTTAAATGTTTGCCAGTGTGCAATTACCTATAACGAAGGGTCTCTGAATAATTTTCCTGTGTCCTATACTGTACGATTTTCTACCTGTGACACAAAACCTTATAAAAATGGATTCCAGGAAGTACAGGGACGAGGATGGTCCTGGAATACCAGAGGCTGACAGAGGGGACCTGAGGATAGGAGGAGTGGTCAAGGTTTGCACTCTGTCCTGCATGCCCTCCACAAATGGCCTGATTCCCCCCCCTTCCTTCCTTCTTCAATGACATATTGCCCCTAGCAACTACCTGCTAAAACCAAAACAGTCCAAGGCGACTAACCAATAAAAAAAAGGTTTATTTGCCTCCCTTACTGTGAAGATATAAGCAACTTGCCCCAACATCTTCCAGACTGTCTGACCTCTCATGCTGGCTCAATTCCCAGAAATTGCACTTGCAAAGGAAGCACTGTCCCTTCCACCCAGTGGTCATTCCTGCAGTAATAGGTCAATGTGCTTGGCCTATGCAATTGCAACTCCCAAAATTGGAGCTTAATTTATAGCCAGTATGTGTGGCTGCAATTTGTCTAAAGCAGCTGCTCAAGCCTGGCAGTGCTTAACAAAGATAATGGGAGAAAAACCCAAAAGGAGGAGTTTCCCATGGGCAATAAGAATGCTAAGATAGCTATCCACACTCTAATGTCCCAATACTGTAGTGGCCAGTATGGAGGTCATGCCAAAAGTCTTTTTCCCAGTCCCCATTAGAGTAACAGCAGACAAACTTTTATTGAGCCATTCAGAGGTGGACTTGGTGTGTTTCGGATCATTGTCTTGCTGCATAACCAAAGTTCCCTTAAGCTTGAGGCCATAAACTGATGGACAGACATTCTCCTTCAGAATTTTCTGGTAAAGTGCAGAATTCATGGTTCCATCAATTATGGCAAGTCATCCAGGTCTTGAAGCTGCGAAGAAGCAGTTCATCACGCTACCACCACGTTTGACATGTGGTATGATGTTCTGTTTATGAAATGCTGTGTTAGTTTTAGTCCAGATGTAACCAAAAAGTTCAACTTTTGTTTCATCAGAATATTTGCCCAAAAGTCCTAGGGATAATCAAGATGTTTTTTGGCAAATGTGGGATGAGCCTTTGTGTTTTTTTGTCAGCAGTGGCTTTCGCCTTGGAACTCCAGGTTTTTTGGATAATGGCTCTCACTGTGGTTCACTGGAGTCTGAAAGCCTTAGAAATGGCTTTGTAACCCTATCCAGACTGATGCATGTCAATTACTTTGTTTCTCATCTGTTCTTGAATGTCTTTAGATTGCAGCATGATGTGTTGCTTTTTGAGCGTGCTTCGCTTTGTCGGATAGGTTCTATTTAAGTGATTTCTTGCTTCAACGGGTCTGGTAGGAATCCAGCCTAGGTGTAGCAACTGAAATTTAACTCCGCTTTCCAAAAAATTTGGTTAATCAGAGTTCATTCATATTTAGCAAGGGAGGAGGAGTAATTATTTTTTCACATAGGCCCAGGCAGGTTTGGACAGCTTTTTCCTTACTAAATTAAATTGTCATTTAGAAACTGCATTTTGTATTTACTCTGGTTATCTTTGTGTACTATTAAAATTTGTTTGGTGTTCTGAATCACTTAAGTGTGACAAATATGCAAAAAACCCCCCAAAAAACCACTGTTCCAATGTCAAGGGCACATGGCCTTGTAAGCCGCAGGGAGGGGGGCTTGTTTGTCCACCGCCCTTCCTGCCCTGTCAGGTCTGTGCACGGATCAAGGGCCTGATAGGAATTTAGAGGGAACCCCATGCTCCCCCCTCATTTTTTTGGGGGGTGGGGTTCCCTTTAAAAGACCTATCAGGCCTAAAAGGGCCTGGTATGGCTTTTTAGGGGGAACCCCATGCACTGTTTTTGTTTTTCTTACTGCGGGATCCCTATCAGACCTAAAGCGTCTGGTAGGGATTGGGGTGGGGGGTGACCAAACGCTTTTTTTGTTCTATTTAACGTTATTTTGTTTTTTTAAATGTCAATCCTGCTTTTTTTTTTTTTACTTTAAGCAATGAAAAATGAATGCTGCTTTAAAAACAGTACTCTTTGATTTTTTTTCACTGATTCAAGTCCCTTAGGGCAGTACCAGAGTCCCCATACCCCTTTTATGGCCAATAACTTGAATACAAGTCTTGAAAATGGGAACTTTTGAATTTACAAGTTTGAGTCTTACAGACCTGCATTGAGTTCGAAGTTCGCAGTCGAACATTCATCAGAGTTGAATGTTCGACTGCGAACAGAACAGGGGGGTGTTCATCCCATCACTACATTAGACCATAAGAGGAGGCCTCAGCAGTGTGTACAAAGTATATAAAGATTCCTATGCTCACCACTAACAGTGTAATGAAGCAGTTACTGCAGAAACTGAACTATTTTATAGAATTGATACAATGTTGCACAGCTTGAACTCCATTACAGACATATTACAAAACTGGACATTACGCTTATTTTACTAACATTATGGGTATTATAAGGCAACTGCCTGAATGCTGAACCATTTTCAATTAAAAACTTTTTATACATAGGCTCCTTAGTGTTCCCCCATTCATCTAATTTCTTGTCTTTGTATCACAAGGAAAGGAAGAGATGGGAATCTCCCGGCGTCACAGGCTGCATTAAAAATCTGTCAGAGGTTCTATTCTTTCCCCACTTTATCCAAAATAAAATATAAAAAAAAAAAATGTTGCTGCAGTAAAATTTTTACTGAAAAAGATATTCTTAAAAACAGGAAAAGCAGTGCATGGTGCATTTACAATAAAACTGAAAAAAAAACCCAGCTAATTGATAAATACACTGCTAAAAAAAAATTAAAGGAACACTTTGAAAACACATCAGATCTCAATGTGGAAAAATATCATGCTGGATATCTATACTGATATGGACTGGGTAATGTGTTAGGAATGTAAGGATGCCCCATCATTTGATGGAAATGAAAACTATCAACCTACAGAGGACTGAATTCAAAGACACCCCGAAATTCAAAGTGAAAAAATGATGCAGCAGTCTAATCGCGGGGTCCCCATGAGATGTCCCTGGTACCCTTTTCCTAGGCTTTTTTGCGTTTGGGCAAGGACATAGGGGCCCCATGATCCCCTATTGCCCAGGAGCCCCATGAGTTGTCAGTCCGCCCCTGGGCACATATTGATATGCTGTCCTGGAGGAGTTGGACTGCCTGTGCAACCTCTGTATGGTCCAGGTATCGCCTAATGCGATCAGTAGTGACACTGACCCTAGCCAAAGGCAAAACTAGTGAAAAACAGTCAGAAAAGTTGAGTAGGGAAAAAAATGTCAGTGGCCTCTACCTGTAAAACCATTCCTGTTTTGGGGGTCATCTCATTGTTGCCCATCTAGTGCACCTGTTGTTAATTTCCTTAACACTAAAGCAGCTGAAACTGATTAACAACCCCTTCTGCTACTTAACTGACCAGATCAATATCCCAGGAGTTTAATTGACTGGATGCTCTACTCTGATTAAAACGTGTTCCTTTAAAAATGTTTTAGCAATGTATATATATTTAATGCAACCATATCTTTTACATATTACCAAAAAACTTTGTATTATATTGTGTTTGTGTGCCCTTAAATTAACTTTAGTGTATTTTTTCTGAAATTTTGCACTTAAACCACTGTACTATTACTGTTGGACATAAAAAAAAAAAAAAAAAAAAAAAACTACCACTATTTTATTCTCCAGGAGATCTGGTTTCAGAAAAATATATAATATTTGGGGGGGATGGGGGTGGGGGGTGGTTAAGTAAAAAAACAAACAAACACACCCCACGCATAAATGGCTCTGGCAGCTAAAGGGTTAAACTAAAACCCTTTTTCTTTTTTGTATGGTAGCAAAAGCAATCATCGTCCAAACCCACAGGAATCCACTTACACCAACTGATTTTGGAAGAAATTAGGGTTTGCTCACAATAGCCCACAAAATGCAGCATTCTACAATGCAGGCAGCTGTCAGTGTGAGTTCTGGCAGAGGGCAGTGTGATGCACATTTCAGTGCATCCCACTCTTTATTTATTTGCAATGTCACATAGTGATATATCATTGAAGCCTCTGCACAGCAGTACAATGCGTTTTTCCACAAAGCACATTACACCAGCACTGTGCTATGAACAGGGCACATGGAACACAATGCAGTGTGATTGAGCAACTAAGGTTTTTATTTTATTTCTAGAAGCATGATTAACTGGATAAAAATTTATGGCCTTTCTTTCCAAATCTCAATTTGTGTGGCGGTACAGAGGGGCCATGCCATTTCTGTATGGGATATAGTTATAATAGCAGCTGGAAACTTATCCAGAATAACTTATGAAGTTCATGAGGATCTAGCTTCCTCTCTCTGATTGGTTTCCAATTTGCCTCCCCACAGCCTGGATAGATGTGACGGCCCTCTGTCTTTTCTTGTCCACCTTTTGTGCTTAACCAACAAAAAAACTTGTATGTACAATATGTCATATGGGAATATGAAGTCCTAAAGAAGTGACTCCTGACCGTGAAACGTGTAGACAGTGTAACCTATGACATTAATGTCTCTGTGAACAAAACATTTATTTGTGAATATGTTTGCGTGATCAATGCCGATTGTAAACTCTTCTGTTTGGGTATTTTATTATATATTTGGCAAATAAATTTTGGTATCCTACAAATTTATAGTTTTTATTGATTAACGATAGGTTACTCTAGATTCCCCATACTGGTTTTTCCTATATTGTGGTTGGTGACCTAACGGTAAACTCGAATCCTTCACAGATTATGTATATATCCACATACACACAAAAATCACATCCTAGATCATATACACCTAACATATATTTGAGATAGATAGATAGCCTGTAGTCACATTGATTTATGGTTTCTTGAATTTCGTAGAACTGAAACTGATATACTAGTAAGTAAAATTATGTTCAGAATTAAAGCCTCAAAATTAAAGTGCATGAAGAATTACCTGCTTGACCTTCACATAACCTTTGTTGCAATCTGATGTCAGCTGCACTGCAAAAAAAACGATATTATTTTAGCATAACTAAATCATTTTTACGACATCGGCTAGCTATGATTCTCTATAACCATCGAAAACCCACACTGCACTTCCTTGCAATCCTCGCAGTAAAATTATGCATACAGTGGATAAAGAAAAGAACCCCCCCCCCCCCCTTTAAAATAATAACATTTTGTTGCTTTGCAGCCTGAAATGAAGACAGACACAGTTTTTGTTTTATCCAGCTGTATTTACTCAGTGCAACTAGCATCCAAGTGAAAGAAACAACAATATGTGAGAAAAAAAAAAAAATAATTCAGAAATCAAAAACAGAATCACCGAGTTGGAAAAAATATCACCCCCCTCCTAAAAAACACTTGAAAACTCAATCAGGTTTAGTTAATCACCTTCTCAATGGCACACAAAGCCATTTGACTTTCAACTGTGATCATTTGTGGTCATTTTGATGAGCTCAGCATGAAAAGAGCTTTCCTGGAGCATTTCAGTCCTTGGAAGTGCAACTGAAGCAAACAATCAACTATTAGTGGCAAGGCACTGTAAAGAAAATATCCAGGATAAAGTTGTGGACAGGCACAAAACAGGAGATGCGTCCAAACATTTTTCAAAGGCTTTATCAATGCACAGAAGTCTATTATTAAGAAGTGGAAGGTATTTAGACAGCACAGAAACTGGATCAGGACGTCACTCCAATCTGGATGAAAGAGCTAGGAGGAAAACTGGTCAGAGAGGCTACCAAGAGGCCTACAGCAACTCTGAAGTAGTTGCAGGAATTTATAACAAAGAGTGCCCATTGTGTGCGTGACAACAATATCACGAATTCTCCACGAATGTGGCTTGTAATAAAAAAAAGCCACTCCTCAAGAAAGGCCACATGAAAAAAGTTGTTCTGGTCAAATGAGACTAAAATTGAATTATCTGGCCTCATCACTAGAGAGAGAGAGTGAGTGTGAGTGAGTGTGTGTGTGTTGAGCTGACTGTCAGCTTTCTCCTAGAAACCATCAGATCACTTCCTCTGGTCAATGGACCAGAATGTAACATGCATTACTTCACTTTCTGGTTCACAGCTATCATTCCCCCAAAGCAGTGGGCAGGGAAGGAACTAAAGGATAATGATCTGTAGAGTGCAGGGTAGACATTAGGGGTCTAGCTGACAGGGGTGCTTACAATGGTCATCTTTTATTTATGTAAAACCTTTATCCCAAAAGGAAATAAATGGTTACTGTAACTGCTTAAAAAGTATTAGCTGGAGATCAGCTTTAATTTGTTAGTCAAGTCCAACTAAACTTGCTAGTGCATCTAGCACTTGCAACAAATGCAGCCACCACATTTAAGGATTGGTAAACTGCAATGGAGAGTGGTAACGGTCAGTCACCGCTCTCCGATCTTTACTTCACTATTTAGTATACAGGTTCACTTGACATTACCAAATGGCTTGTGGGCAACCGTGTTCTCCTAAAGCTGGTCACACGTTGAGCAAATTTTGCTCCACTCCTAATAAATCAGCCTAAATTTGCTACTGGCCCTCTCCCACCTTGAATCTCTTGATCGAAAAATCAAAGGAGCTGAGTGGAAGATTGGTGACAGACAAAAAAAAAAAAAATGCATCCAATCAGATGCAGAAACTGCTAGGGTATTTTGAGAACAGTGGGAGATTTGTCCATCCATGCTGTGTAGCGGATTTGCTGAAAAAAAAATAAAAAAAAATAAAAGATTTTGCAGCCTGAAGAGAACAAAACTATATGTGTATGACCTGCTTAACCTGCTCTATATCTTAGCTCCATACTATTCTGAAAATGTTAGAATGTTACCTTGCTGTCTGGAACATTTTTTGTCCACAATCTGTGTCTCTGGTCCTCGTCCAATAACCACTGGCACTGTATGTGGTAGTTTGATTCTGCTACAGGTCTTTTCCATGCCCACTAGCCAGCATTCCAACATTTTCACTGTAAAAAAAAATTCTAATAATGAGCATTGTAATAAAATTATAAAGAACAAAAATAATCAAAATGTATATATATGTAAGCATTTAAAACATTTCTGAGAGTAATGTTTTGACAATTATTTCCATTATAGAAGGATGCTGTTGAACGGAGTAGATTTTTAGATCTCCCAAGGGGTCTAATAGTAACATTCCAGTTCCACCCCTAACATCACCTTAGTTTTTCATAAAATGAATGGTATAATAAATAATTAACTTTTATGACCCTCCAGGATCACTAGCATTTATTATTTACAGTTTCAGAAATAACAGATAGTATAGTTCTCCCTATAAATCCGATGCTAAAACTAGCAGAGCTGCGGCTCAAAACTGGAGCATCTCTGTATGGGAACCAGTCAGATTCTACCTTTCATTTTCAAAACTTAAGTTGAAGACAGGCTCTTATTGGTTATTATGCTCCAGATTATGTCTGCTCCAGTTTAGATAAATTCCCAATGTTGTATTCTGTGAATCCTTCCCAAAACACAAGGCTTTCTTAGCCATCTGTGTCCTATTTGGAGATTTCCCTTCCCTTCTTGTCTTGCAAAACACAACAGGAAGTGTGAAGAAACCACTTAAAAATGAGGGAAACCCCTTCTTAAGGATCCTATTCAAAAGCATCCCCATTGAAAGATTTGCCCTCAATTCCTGTTCTGGTGACAACTCAAAATTTTGCATCTTCCTCACAAAAAAAAACAAATAGGGGTTCTAAGCTTTCCTTACTTTGTCCACAGCTCAAAACAAAGAAGAGTTTTACCTTCACTAACTTCATAGTTGTGGATTCAGAAAACAGTCAAGTCAGATGATCAGCATGACAGCCAGAAGGTCAACACTGGCACTTTTAATATGCAGGGGTGTTGAAATTGTTGAAAATTACTTGTCCAGGGACTAAATTGGGTCCCCAATCTACATGTCCCTCATGACAATCTACTTGTCCATATACATTTTTTATTTTTTTTTAACCAAAACTGTATTTAAATCTGGGGCTTCTAAAAAAAAAAAAAAGGCTTTATGGCGACTTAAACATGTAATATTTTTAACATTGCGCTGTTTAACTCCTCCTCCCCTCCCTGCCTGGGATGAACAACGATTGGCTGCTCCTCAGGAAAGAGTGGGTCAGGGCTTATACTTTATCCCTTTCGCTGCCAGAGCCATTTTTGTGTTTTTTGCACTCGTTTAAAAAAAAAAAATTTAGGCCTGAAGATTACAAAAAACCCCCAAACATTATATATATTTTCTGAAAGCAGAGACCCTAGAGAATAAAATAGTGGCAGTTCCAATTTTTTATGTCGCAGGATTTTATTTTAGTAAATTATACAATTAAGTTAATTTACCCTATTTTTTGGTAAAAATTTAAAAGATGAGGTTGTATCGAGTAAATAGATATCCAACTTGTCAAACCTTAAATTTGTGCACATTCCTGAAATGGCGAAGAAATTCAGTACCCTATATTGTCTATAGGTAGACACTTTTTAAAGCTCCTTATAGGTCACCAGTTTAGTGAAAAGGAGGTGGTCTAGTGCTAGAATTATTGCTCTCATTCTGACGTGCGCAGTAATATGTGACATGTGTATCGCAATCGACGGTTTCATGCGCATATGCGGAGCTGGGGGCCTCAATATTTTTTTTTTTTTGGGGGGGGGGGGGGGGGGGGGGGGGGAATGGTATGTGCTTGGGTGTAACTTTCATTTTTTTACAATTAAAAAAAAAATTTACATAGGGGACACAGAGGCTAGCAGTGTGTGCAAGCAATCGGCGGCAGAAGTGCTGCCGAATGCTTCCACTTGACAGGTGAGCCCACTGCTTGCCCACAGCAGGGCTAAAAGAACTTCCTGCCCAACGCCTGGAACTACATGTCCCGGGCATCGGGCGATAGGAATCCAACATCCCTGATATGCAGTTTTCTTTCAAGGATCATTTTAACAAACTACCCTTAGTCCTGGTTCATACCGATGCGACTTGTCATACGATTCGACAGTTTCAAATCGCATGACAAGTTGCACCCTATTGTTGGCAATGGAACCAAATTTGAAAGTAGTTCTTGAACTATTTTTTTGTGATTTCAGGTGCTACTTGCATATACACTTGAAGTTGCAAAGATGTCTTCCAAGTCGCACTAATCTGCAACTTCAAGTGAAGTCGCAGGTTTTCAAAGTCGGATCGAGTGTGAACTCAGGCTGAAGCAGCATTCACAGTTGTGCAGTCACAGTGCACATCTATATGCACAAAAAAAAAACAAAAAACAAAGTAAACATATGAACAAGTCCTTCAACACATAGTAAGGCAACAAATGTATTTTTTAACCCATGCATTGCATGCAGAATGCTAGCACAATATCAGGTTTCAAATGACTATTAAAAAGAAATGGCCAATGCACTGCAAGATGTGCCAAAAAACTGTTTGTAACTGCATGCCCTTTAGGCCTAATACACATGCCCATTTTGTTTTACTGGCAGTAAGATTCTGTGTATAAGGCAACTGTAGTGTAGAGTAGAATTGTACAACCCCAATTTCAAAATGCAGGGACACTGTAAAATCTATATAAAAACAGAAAGAAATGATTTGCAAATCTCAAAACACAAATTTTATTCACAATAGAAAACATATCAAAATGTTTAAACTGAGAAAATGTACAATTTTAAAGAAAAAAAAGAAGGTCATTTTGATATTGATGGCAGCAACAGTTGGGACAAGGCAAAAAAAGATGGCAAAGTAAGTGGTACTAACAAGGAAGGGTGGGAAGAATTATTTTGCAACTAATTAGGTTAATTGATCAGTAACACGATTGGGTATAAAAAGAGCATCATAGAGTCAGATTGTCTCAGAAGTAAACATGGGCAGAGGTTCACCAATCTGCGAAAAACTGCATCTAGACTTTAAATATATCATTATCTACAGTACATTATATTATCAAAAGATTCCAAAAATCTGGAGAAATCTCTGTGGGCAAAGGACAAGACCGAAACACAGTATCGGATGTCCACGATCTTCGTGCCCTCAGACAGCACTGCATTAATGACAGGCATGATTCTATGATGGACATCACTGGGCTCAGGAATACTTCCAAAAATCACTCTGTGTGAACACAGTTCTCTGTGCCATCCAAAAATGCAAGGTAATGCTCAGTCATGCAAAGAAGAAGCTATATCCAAACATTATCCAGAAATGCCACCATCTTCTCTGGGCCAAAGTGCATTTAAAATGGTCTGTTGCAAAGTGGAAAACTGTTCTGTGGTTAAACAAATTGACATCTGACATTTTTTTGGCAACCATGGGTGCTGCATTCTCTGGACTAAAGAGGAGAGGGACCTTTCAGCTTGTTTTTAGCACTCAGTTCAAAATCCTGCATCTCTGATGGTATCGGGGTACATTAGTGTGTATAGAATGGGCAGCATGCACATCTGGAAATGAACCATTGATACTAAAAGGTATATCCAGGTTTTAGAGCAGCATATGCTCCCATCCAGATGACATCTTTTTCAGGGGAGACCTTGCATATTTCAGCAGGCCAATGCTAAACCACATACTGTATCTATGACAACAGCATAGCTTCATAGTAGGAGTCCGGGTGCTTAAATGGCCTGTCTGCAGTCCACACCTTTCACCAATTGGAAATATTTGAAATGAAAAATACAGGTCGAGCAGCAGCTGAAGATGGTCGTATTCTGTACCAGCTCCTCGCCACCCAGGTGCACATCAATTGCTCAGCCCCACCAGAGATGAGCCTGACACCTCTCTCCGTTTCCCTGGTGTCCCCCCAGACCTGGCTGGATCACTTCATAGGAGCGGATTGCCGACTAACCGGCCCCGATAATCAGTGGTGCTGCTCCAAGAGTGGGGGAGGTGGCAGAAGCCATTATCCCGTAGCTCGCGTGAGCTCCCCCAGCCTGTAAAATACTGTGGGACCACGCGACCTACCTCCGCTCCTCAGGACTGGAATCCCACCTGTAGCCTGCCGTTGGTGGCCCATCCGACACGGCGGGACCAAGCCTCGGCCTCTTTAGCTGCCTTCTAGCGCCAGGCTCCTGCTCCTCAGACCTCTGGAGCTCCATAAGCCACGAGGGAGACCCCTGTGGCAGACGGGAGGCCAGCATTCCTGGGAAGGGACCTGCCCGAACTATAGAAGAGAAGAGATCTGAATTTTGCTGTGGTTCCCTTCTGATCCAGATACCCAGCACAGATGGGACAACACTGATGCCCCTGCCACCATTTGGGCACCTACATGCTGCAGGCTAGCGGAGCCTAGTCTTCCCTTTCACCTGTAACCCCCCACGATCCTGCCACAACCTCAGCTTGCTACCATCTACTCTCAAACCCTGCTTTTCAGCCACTGTCTTTTTTGGAATTCCTAGTTTACTACAGAATTTCTAAATCACCGAGGTACCCGCGCTCCCAACGGAAACATGGGGAAAAAACTCCATAACCACTCCAACCAAATCAACCAAATCCACGGCGACCTCCACCAAGTGCTCAGCCACTTCTGCTTAAAGTACCCAAACTAAAATGGCCTCTCCACAACCTTCACCAGAATATTCCTTTTCATCTCAAGAGCATTGATCTCAACAGGATGACTCCTCCAATGATAGTCTTTCAGCGGTACAAATTGCAGATCCCAGTACGAGACTCAGCGCTTCACAAAAAATTTAAAATTCCTCCTTCAAACAGAATTGAACACCGCCACAGAACAACTCACCACTAAGATCACTCGCAAAATAAGGGACATAGGCTCCTGTATCGATGATCGATGAACACAAAATGGACGATGCTATCCTGGTGATTGATAACCATGAACAAGACATTAACACCATCAAGTTAGATCTTGCTTCTGCCCTTCAGAAACTTTAAGACTTGGGAGAACCGCAGCAGGAGAGGCAACTTCAGAATCAGAGGCCTCCCGGAATCCATAGAGGACTTAACCTCCAGTTACCGCGTTACTACAGGAGCTCATCCCAGGCACCCC